CCCCCCAGCCCAGCGGTGCCTCCTGATTTGCCCGGCAACGCTCTCGGATTTGCTCCCGTGCCTCGGCACGAACAACGAGGGCGAGCCCCCAACCGACGGAACGGCCGGTGTCCCAGGCCTGACACCCAGCGTCTCCGAAGGGATTTCCATCAAGGTGGATGTCAAGGATGAAGTCGTTCTCCCTCACGGCTTCAGCCAAAGCCTGGGCCAGCTTGTTCAGAGCGAAGGGAAAGGAACTAGCCTTGGATCCGGGGAGGATCCCAGGTGGGTGCCTGTCGATGGGATGGCCAGGCCTCCACGCCGACATCGCCGATGTGGTTGTTCTGAAGCACAATGACTTGAATGCTGCGGTTCTGCTGCAGCGCCTTTGCTAGGGCCTGGGGATTGACATAAAGCCGACCAAATTTAGCGCGCCGATCACAAGGGGAACCAAACCGTGTCTCAGCATCAGAGATAATCTCCCAACAACCTCCAGCGCTGCTTTGTCTTTCAGATTCATTAAATTTCATTAAGATTCCATAAGACTCTTGTGTTTTGACAGCTCTGATGTCCCACCAGTTTTCCTAATTATACGTACATCTTCGAACCGACATGTACTGACTCAGATTTCAGGCTGCACTGGAACATGGGTCAAAACCTTTGTGGGCAGAAATAGGAAATTCGCAAATTTGCTGTCGATGATCAATTTGGTGTTTCAACTCAGACCTTGGTTTGACTGTTTTGGATCTCAGGTGCGCTCATCGCACGTTGATCTACGTGAAAATGAGTGAACCAAAATCCTCCTCGGGTGTGAAAATCAGGGTTGGGAAAACATGTCAGATCAGTTCAAACGCTTCAGTCTGATTGGATTCAGGCTGGTTTTTTTTTGAGTGAAAAAAAGGATGGATGGGTATAGATGCCTGCTAGCAGTGACCATCCACGATGCTGCAAGTGTCATGATTGCTTTGTTGAAAACCTTTAAAAGCGGAGTCTCAGTAGTCACAATCAAATTCATAATAAACGTTCACAACATGACACTTAACGTATTTGTATGTACTTGTGCATTATCATGGCGAAACGAGACGTTCCATGATAGTTCAAAGGCAGCACATTGAACGCCAAAACTGACCACTTAGAATCCATGCAAAACACATTGACAGGTCCAATCATGTTGATCTCTGAAAAATGTATCTTGCTCCGTCTCATGACACCAAATTGACGCAGAAGTGAACAAAAAAACTATGCGAAAGTTATACAAATTGACGCCAAAATTGTTTGCTGTGTTGATTTTGTTGAGCTTCCCCTGAAAATGGTCCCTTTAAAATTCAAAAAAAAGTTTTTCCAGCGTCTAGGATTATGACGTCCTAGAACTTGATCATCCTGGAGCATTATCACAAGCATTCACAAGCAATCGTCGCCGTGCAACGCCTCCACACCCGAATCTCCAATTTCATTGCCCCGAAGAACGATGCTTCTAATGCTCGTGTTCTGCATCAACATCTGCGCAATCGCCTGGAGCCATCGAACCGCGTCACCACCACAGCTGGACAGACTGCCTTCGCGACAGACGCGAAGGCACGGCCTTCGCGCCCAGGTCGGTGATCGTGTTGTTTTGAAGGTAGATGTGGGAGACGCTCCGGTTCAGCCGTAGCGCTTCCGCCAACACCTGGCGCTTTCAGCTTGAAAACGCTCCCCCGGACGGGTTCGATCCGTTTTGGCTCCCAGCGCTTCCGCTGGCCGGGCCTGGACGTTCGTGTCCCCAAGTCTTCCGCCCGAAAGATCCATCCTGGTCGTAGCACCACCGCGCTTCAGAATCTGGGCCAATGCCTGCCAACTCTGGCCGCACAGGCCGCACATAGGCTTGTCAGGCCATGTTTCTTTGGAGTTCTCTGTTGGTTTCATGATGTTTCACCTGTGAGTCGTGTTCCAGCTTCTTCTAGCTCAAAACGGGTTTTCACACAAGCAACGAAAACAAAAAGGAAATGTGTGGCTTCAGTCCTGGATGCGCAAGTGTCCAGCAAAAGGGTCTGCACGGTCTCCCTGCTCCTCCCCCTTTTCTTCAAGCATCTCAGGAGCCGCTGCCTGAGAAAAATGCGATCACATCTGACACTTTAGACTCTATTCAAATTCAAACATGGATGAAGATTCAACTTGCACTCGCTTTGATGCCTTTATCGACTTTCAGTGTCAATCTGGTACAGTATCTTACTTGTCTGAGCTGCCTCCGCAGCTTCTATAGGACTATAGGGCCTATAGGGGAAATGAAGGCATCGCGACACACCAGGCATGCTGGATGGAGCCTCATGGGACCATGCTGGAGCCTCATTGGACGCATATACAGTACTAATAATACCTTACTTCCAAAATCTTCAGATTTCTCCAGCACACCGTACCCGGCCTCTGCAGCTGCTCGGTTCGCCTTCAGCCGTTCCTCGATCCGTTCCAGAGCCTCGCTGCAAGGCTATCAGTGGAAAGAAGTAGACGGTTAGACCAGATGGATCAAGTGCACGGAAGACATGTGCGTTCGATGGAAGACCAAGGGACCATGATGACCACCCACTGAGTCCCAGACGAAACCCTCATCCACTTGAAGACCGATGTGGGTCACTACGTGATTGATCAACAAGGCGTCAGCGATCGCCTGGTGATCCCAGTCGGTGCCAAGAGCACCCAAATCCGCTTTGTTTTCCTGGCCTTTCCCTAACTGTGACTTTAATCGATCCAATCCATATTGTTTTGAATGCTTCTCTATAGCCTATCCCTTTTAGAATCCTTTAGGTTTGTTGTCTGTGCGATTGACAAACATTGACGGAACTGCGGCCTGCAAACCCACTTCAGAGATATGATTGCCTGCCAAGTCGATCCTGGTGATGCTCCTGTTGGTCTTCAAAATCTTGGCAATCACCTGCCACTTCCGCCGCTGCTTGATCCACCACCCCCAAACTGAGGCCTCCACTCTCCAATCCCAACCCTCACCCCTTCCGCCGATCCCCCAATGCCTGAGCGAGCCGATCGCCTACCTCAGCCTCAAGCATCCAGAAGAAGAAGTCGAGCTCGGTCATCGAGGCGAAGGCCGCCACGTCAACCTCACTCAGCGCCTGGCCGACGGAAACCGAGTACAGCTGAGGTCGGCCCCCTTGCAGGTTGGGGCAGCTTCTGTCCTTCACCATCGCCGGGGCGGAGAGGAAATATGCAAAGCGCAGGCTCAGCTTCTGCAGCGCCAAGGAGCTGAGCGCCTCAACGGACTCAAAGAAGCCGGAGAATCATTATGAACACGGCGTCCAAGCTCAAGCATTCAAAACACTCACATGCTGTCCAAAGATTTTTCCAGCCTGGCAAAAGGCCTTGGCCTCCGCGTCACCAACATAGAAGTCGTCGATGTGCAAGACTCGGAGGTTCTTAAGGTGGGGCAGCGAAGCCGCCAGCTCCCCCATATCGGATACAGTCAAGTTGCGAAACTCCAAGTGTCTCCTCATGGTAACTTTTTGGTGGAAGATCTTCCGCTGAAGATCAACCACAGTTGCCGCATCGTTGCGATGCGTAAAGGCCGACGTGGCCATGCGCTGTTCAAACACTTCGGGCGCTGTGGGCACCTTCTTTGTATTTGCAACATTTCCATATCTGTCGGCCTCACAGTCGATGGCAATATTTTGGGCTGGAATGCCCCGTGCTGCAGACCATTCGATCTCGGCGCGGCACCAGCCACGCTCCAGGTAAAAAACAAAGTTTTCCATCAGCTCACTGAGTGGAATCCACGCAACCGAATTGCTTGGCAAATGATAAATCGGCACTTTGTACATTGAATCCTCTTTCCTTGCAGTCCATGTTTCGACAGGTGTGAGACATTCCAGGCGGAAGGTCAGGGTGCTCTGGTGAGCATACATGACGTGCATGTTCGACATTGCTCGCCGGAAACTCGCCTCTTGCTCAGCTGTGTCGCGATGGAACTGAAACAAGGACAAATAATCATAAAAAACCCAAATGTCGTCTACATACGCAGCATCCCATACACAGTTCACAAGATTCTGTAATTGAAAGTTGCAGGGATCCGGGTGTTCCCGCGTTTCCCACGCGTGAGACACTGAACAAATCAATGCCTTCCTACGGCCTAGCGCCCATTCGGCCACTTCTTTGTGTGAGACCAATGCCGAGATCTCCTGCCCATCGACTTCGCACCAATCATGCTCCGCCTCTTGCCGCCGGGGCATGCACCTGCTTGCCCGGAGCAATTTGTAGAAGTACCTGGAGGCCAAAAGAAAAACACATGCTCCCTCCACCAGCCAACACCCCTGATCTGCACTCAGGCTGCTGACACGTGGGGCGCAGGGGCGCGAGTCGGGGCGAGTCGGGGGCACGGAGCCCTCACCAGGCGGACATCGGCATCGATGAGGTACTTCGCGAGAGACTTTGGGTCTTCCAAATCATAGGTCTCCTGGCACTGGCAGGGCAAGCAGGGGTAAGAGCCGAGAGCCTTGAGGCTCAAGGTGAAATCTCAACTGTGAGACCCCCTTCCTTCACCGAGACAAAAGAGATCAGAAACAACCACTCCCTATGGATCCACACCCTCTCGGTGAGTAGGGAATAGTAGGGAGACTCTAAAGAAATGCAAACGCCAGGAGGGGTCCAATCGCCTTCTCAGAAGATATGTGGAATGTCTAGGAACTGCCAACCATCATCCCAACACTTGCTCTTCTCTCGCCAGCTCCTGGCTCCGACCCTCTCGATTCGCCGACCCAGTCCCAGCCTCCACAAGTGGTCCATGCAGCAGTTCCGCTTCGGATGAGGCTGTTGCCGCCTGGGAGTTTAAGGCGGTGAAAATGAACCGGCAGAGGTTGAAGAACCCGAACTAGACTATCCTAGTTGGGTACTCCAGGTGACGGGTCCTAGTTCAGGTCACTTAACCTCTGTTGGAAGTCGGGGATCTCTTCACTTAACATTAAAACTGAGATCGCCGGGCTTCCTGGTGGTCCAAAGCTTGGAAACTGCTTGCGGCTCCCGTGGCTTGGCGCTCTCCACAGCGTTTGGAACACGCTTTGTTGACCAAGCAAACACCGACTGTGGACATGATCTTTCTCCAACCAAGAAAGTCCGTGAAGATCCGGAAGAACAAAAATCATGGTTTTTGCTTACAAGTAGCTTTGATCTTTGATCCGTGTTAAGTAGCGTTGATCCGTGTTGAACCCCATGTTGGATTTTCTAAGGTTTGACTTCTATACCGCTGCATGCCGGTTTCTTCTTTCTACATTTCTATTTATGATTAAGGTTGACCAAATTCAGCCATGGATGAGACCATTGAACAGCTGAACCAGTTTCACTAGTGATGTTCTGTTTAGTGGATAGATCCAAAGCGTTGAACTGGCATGACATTTATGGTGACTGTCAATCGCTTATAAAAATGATGGAGGAGCATTGATTTATATATATACGTCTTTCTTGTGTCCATTTATTCTAGTCCTTGTCTTTGCACACTATGAAGCCATCGTTAAAATCGTTTGCTGCACATTAATGTCATAGCTGTTGACCTTGCATTCCAATCATAAAGAACGATAAGTTTCTAGATCCCAAAGGCTGTAGACAACATATCATTGCTGGTGATTACATCGCTCGAATAGTGGGCCAATATTATGTTATTCACCTCCATCCCTGTTCTCACAGTTGAGTGTGTCTGCTGCCTGGGGCAGAATAAAGTCCAAGAGGTCCTGGTAGGAAACATCCACGCCGTCGAAGCTGTTCACGGCACACAGAATGGCGCGTGCATCGTCCTGGAAGAAAGTGCAGTTGCAATGATTGATGGAACACCGCGTGCATCATCCCGTGCTTCCATGAGCAGCAAAGTGACCAAGAAGAGCACTTGGAATCCCTGCCTTTGAAAGGCCAATTGGAATCAACACATCATCAACAAGCTCTTTGCCTCACAGAGCGGCTTGAAAGCGAGAAACGCCTGCTATTCACATTCCAGCATAGAACATAAAGTCTTTGGACCAAGAACCAAGGAGACTCTCGAGTAAAGTCACATAATCATATTACTCATTATAGGCCGAGTGCATTGTCACAGCCGCTAGGCTCCTCAAACATATGATGCTCACACACTGATTCTATAGTGGGAAATGCGGTGTAAGGATGCTTCAGGTAGCATAACAGCATAGCATAATAACTCTATCACTTAAAGTACATACAGTACTTTTTGGCCCTCAGCACAACCCTCGGTTCTTCAGCGCCTGTCATGGATGCTGGCACATGATGTCGCTCAAAGATTTGGCGAATCCTCTGCATTTCGTCAGCCTGGCTCAGAATCACTGCCCAACAACATGTTGGGCCAGCAAAAGCCACTGTTACAATTTCTCAACTGGCGAGACTAGCTTTTTCACCACCTGTTGACTGACCAATGGTTCACTCAAAACCTGTGTAGAATTTCTTTTGAACATAATCTTTCCTGACCTCTGAAGAGGCCACGTCGTCTCATCTCCCCAGCAACTCTCTTAGCAGGCCAACCTCCCATCCATCCTAAAAAGCAGGAGACTTCTTCAGGGACCTCAGAACTCTCCCCATCACCAGCCGTCACCACCACCGAGGTCTCGCCGCGGCCTCCAGGGCGCGCAGCCGAGATGCCTTGGCGTCCGGTGGGAAGGCAGGCTCCGCGACGAAGGCGAAACGAAAAAGGTGTGGCCAAAACCAATCCCTGTTCAAGGAATTGAATGGTTCAAGGGTGGGGGAATTTCTAAGGTTTCAGGGTTCAGGCGCTGTCATTTGAGCCTGCACCCACTTTGCAGTAATGCTGGTGGGTGGATGCCAAAAGACTCCATGATTCAATGGTTGGGGAGGTTCCTGTAAACCCGTCCTTTTTCGTTCCAGGAAGACCTGGAACTCCGAGTTGAATCGGGTCTCGATGTGGACATTTGTTTGAAGCAACCGTGCCAAAAGAACCACACCAGCCATGCCCACAGCTGTTCAGTGGCATCTTGGACAAAGAGGTACAGAATCTGAGCACATTCAAAGCTTGGAAAGCTCCCATGGTGCCGTGGTGTCACCAGACCAGTCTCCCATGGCGTTTGCAAGGCCCGTTGACGACCTCCACATCCGTTCGTTCTTCGCGCCAAACGATCCACATCCGAACCTCATCAGCTACCCACACGTTTCGAAGCTGACCAACGTCCGTGTGGGGAAGCGTGGAAGATGATGTTGACCCATCAAGTCTACTTGTGTAAGAGTTGTTTCATGTTGTTGGAAACAACATCACCCATTGGCAATGACGTGTCATCTTTCCCCATGTTGCTTGGAAAACAGTACCATCACCTGATGGAGCAATGGAGCATGAGTCACCCGGAGCCGTGAACAGTATTTAGTCTGAGTCACGGCCGGCTGGCCCTCTCTCTCTCCAGTCTCCATGGCGATCGAACATAAAGACTCTGTGAGCGCCTCTCGCCCGCATCCGCACGCATCCTTTGTGAAATCAGCTCTAAAGCCTTAGATAATAATGTCTACTTAGATCTACTTAGTACTACTAACCTCCATGCACCATGAACGAGTTTGTCATTTGTTCAAGGACTTATGCCTGACACCATCCTATCTTGAGGGGAAATGTAGGCATCCTAGATGCCTATGTGTGAGACTAGCTTGAGGCTAAGACATTGCTTTGTAATTTCAAGAGTCTGCACAGGGACCGCACGTGACTATTTCTATTGGATTGGAAGGCCAAGGATAGAAACTCTTGCAGTGAGGAGGTGGTGCGCGACCAGCCAAAGTAAAAAGAAACTCAGGGACTTGTTAGCGGAACTTGCTGGGTGTTAGCAGCATTGACCACTGATCTGATGAAACCAACTTCCGAAAGTTGACCCCGAAAATATCGATCTAATCTACATGGTGGAGGGTCGAATTTAGTCTCATGTGCACCCAGCTGACCTTCTCATTTGTGAGAGCTCTGCATGGACACGCTGAACAGGCAATCTTGTGATGGAAAGCCTCTTTAAAGCAAACAAACGACCAGTCAGTGAGGAATGCTACTGAAACCAGGATAGTGTGCATCAAGTTGCTTTCGCAGGTAGTACCCTTTAGAACCGCCCACACAAATATGCGACGGCCTGGTAATCTGTTTAGGTACGTGAATTTGGGCAGGACTGGTTGGGGAAATTGACCCGGCCAAGCCGTACAGGACACTGATCTGTGGCACCTAGCTCAGATCCACTGTCTTGGTGTGTATACTGTCTGAGGGAGTGTGCCCAACCCCCTCAGACTCAAAATAGGCAACCAACAGTGTGGACAAGAACCGCAGAGAACCACAACCCTCTCAGCGCTCCCCGCGACCGGGACTGGCTTGGTGTCCCCTGCCGTCAGTGCTACTGGCGCCTGAAGTGAATGAAGTCTTCTTGGTGTTTGGTTCGACTCCGAAAGCAGAGCCTTTTCACCCAGCAGTTGGAAATAGTTTAGGAAGAACACTTCAAGAACCCTTCATGAGAAAAATTGTGTGGTTAAAAAGAAAACAAACTTCTTGGCATGTGAGGGACATATCAGGACCTCGGTGAAGGAAACTATAAGAATTTTGACCTTTCTTGCGTAAACCGACATCAATTTCAGCCCCCCAGTGATGGGTGTCCGTCTCGATTGAACGTTCCAAAACGAAAGCTATATCATCAACCCAGGGCAAAGTTGTCCAAGCTAGCTGGACATGTTTGATCAACTTTCAAAAATGTTTGTCGAGTACAGTATTTAGGGACCACGTCCGGATTTGGAGCTCAAGGGGTGTTCAGCTGTGCGATTTTGGTGGTTCATCCATTCACGAGATGTTGGATCCGAGTGTTCACGAGGCTTTGCGGAACTACCTACCAAGAGACACCTTTGTTTCACCAAAACTTTCTGAGAAGAACGTGCAATTTGGTGAATGATCTAACCTGAAGGGACTTGCCTTGACAAGGTGTTCATCAAGTGTTGGAAGAATAGAACAAATGCGCAGAGGGTTTCTTCTAGTAATTTCAGCGGCATATTATCCATATTCTCCTGTTCACGTTCCGCATCAGTGGTCTGTGGTGTCGCTCCAAAAACAACAGTCAGCTTGAAACGCAAAGACAAAATACCTCTTCACTTTTCATCATGATTGAACCCTACTTTTCCATATTCACGACCATCATCCATCATCATCATCCATCATCATCATCATCATCATCATCCATCATCATCCATCATCATCCATCATCATCATCATCATCATCATCATCATCATCTTTTCTTTCTCTACGCTCATCGAGTGATGATGGCGTGGATCCTTTTGATCCGCCTGGTCCCCGTAGGGACAACCAGCTCCAGCTGTCAGCTGAAGGTCATGTCAAGCAAGCGAGCCAGATTTGTTCTGGCTTGATCTGGCTGGCTCCGGCGCAGAGCTATGTGCAAAATGCCAAATTGGCGAAGGCATGGACACGGATGGTCCTCAGTCAGCTCAGTGGTGTAGTAGGGCTGACAGGCGCACCACCGAGTAGGATGAGCTTTCGCGCTGAAGGCAGCTCCGCACTTTTCGGCCACCGGCAGGGAGGCCTCCCATAGAGCTCGATGTGCAACTGCAAGGTGTGCATTCATGTCTCGAGGCCAGCTTTGGCAAATGATGCACTTCTTCACCAGCCGATGACATAGTCCCGGGTGGTCAACCAGGATGTCAGCATCGAGTCTGTCAATGGCTTGGAGCCATTTGTGGTGCCAGTCATCATTGATGGACGGATCGTGGATGATGTGCGCAAGCTTCTCTTCCTCAGAGAGAATGGGCGATTCCTCCGTCCATGTTGAGACTGGTTCCGCTCCTCCATGTGGCGTGCAGTTGAGCCATAGGAGACAGCAGTTCTCCTGGATCACTGTTGGAATCCTGTCGAACTTCACCGGCTTGGAGCCGTCGTCGAAGACCCACCATGAGCCACCCGCCAAGACCGCCGTGCAATAGTGCCCACATGTAGGCTCCGAGCCCAAATGATAGGATACTGCCGTGACCACAAATGGAATGTGGTCGATGCCAAGCTTGGTGTTGTAGAAGAAGGGCATCCACACCTTAGAGTCCCAGCTGAGTCTTGTTCGATTTTTCCTGCCCCGCGAGTCGAAGCGATCGATGTGAAGGCATGTGACATCTGCAGGTTCGGTCAACCCATGGAGACCGAAGGACGCCAGGCTCCAGTTGGAGATCAACCCTTGCAGGTCAGTTGGCAGCAGTGCATTCTTTTGCTCA